CTCTCTCTCTCTCTCTCTCTCTTTCTCTTCGCTCCTCCTATTTCTTTTCTATCCTCAAATAACGAAACAAATTAGATTTTGTTCTTTGTACTTTTCTTTTAACCATTCCTATTGAATATTTTCTCTCTCTCTCTCTCTCTCTCTCTCTCTCTCTATCTCTTTCTTTTTGAATAATTTCAGGTTTCTCTCGTTAGCCAAGAACACTTTCCTCCTTCTTCAATATTATCTAACTAGTCTCGGTATTGAATATTCAACGAGTAAATTATATTCCTTGAGTTTCAACGATAAAAGTCACATTCCCTGTAAATTACGAGAAAACGTCTTTAACCATTCGAGTCACGTTCGATTCTATTTACGACGCCGAATAACGAGAGTACCAACTCTTGCCTCTTACTCGCACAATATACTCTCTCTGGTCTTACGATTTAGTTCAACTTTTGAATATGTTAACTACCGAAACAATTACTCACGAACACTTTTTTCCCCCGTGCCTGTCGCTTTTCCCTTTGTATTCTTTCATTGTCTGACCCAATTCGTTCTATATCACTACCATTACCACCACCACTACCACCATTACTATTATTCTTTGCCGTGTATAATATATTATAATAATATGTAATTATATTAATTTTCTTTCTTTTCTCTTTTTCTTTTTTTCTTTCTTTCTTTCTTTTTTTCTTCTTTTTTCTTTTTTTTTCTAATAAGGAAAAAATATAACAGAACGTTTTAAACGAACAACGAAGGAATAATTGAAAATAGAGCGCCCACAGACAAAGAGGAAAAATAAAAAACAAAGAATAAAAATAAGGGAAATGAAAAAGGACAAACGAAAGGGAAGGAAAGCAAAATCGAAAATCGATTTTCAGCCAAACGATCAAATATATACATATACACACACACACATATATATATATATATATATATATATAATTTTTTTTTTTGATGATAAAATTCATTTCCGTACAGTTAATTATAAGCTCGCGACGCACGCGACGCCGGAAAAGCGCCGTATATGGGTGAGAATAATAGCTGGATTAATTAGCTAACCGTATAATCACCGTAATACGCTGTGGTCCTGGCTAATGAAATTCACGCAATGAGTACCGGCCAAACATTGACGTACCTACTCGTTTCAATTAACCATTCGCTTTGACGAATCATTCGTTTTTCCCCTACCGCCTCCCCCCTCTCTCTCTCACTCTCTCTCTCTCTCTCTCTCTCTTCTACCTCCCTGCCTCTCCGTTTTTTAACTTCTTGTCGTGTGCCACCCCGAATTTTATGTATTCATCAAATTCGTCTAGGTGGTATTAATCATTTAAATTATTCAAATTATAAATTAAATTCACTACTACTGTGTATGTGTTATTTTAATTAGATAAAAAAAAAAGAAAAAAGAAAAAGAAAACAAACAAAGGACAAAAAAAATTAACCGTCGATCAATAAAACGATCGATCGATAGAACGAACGAACGCGCTTATACGTGTATAATCCATTGATAAAACTTAAAATTAATTAACCTGCCGATCGTATAATTGTGATAATACTACATTAGTATAATATTGCACCTTTGCCGTCACGTATTTATTATGTTCTCGTCGATAATTAAATTTATTCCTATATATTCATTTAGATAAAAGTAACGAGAAACATGATAAAAAGCATCATAACTGTTTGGCTCAATTGTTTTCGCATATGATTTCGTTCGTAATTGACAATTGTTTAATGTAATTATTCCATAACAATGCGGGATAAATGATACTGAATTAAAAATAATATAAATGAGAAAAGTTAAAAAAAGAAAAAAAAAAAAAAGACATAATAAAAAAAATTATAGTATCGGAGATAGGTAAGTACGTAAGTATATAGATCTTTGTTAAGTTATTTTCATGACAAATGTCCAATGTAAGGAAATTTCACATTGGATAATTGTATAGAGGGAAGTACTCGTATCTAATCCTCAGTGTACCGAGAGGACACAAGAGCTTTTCGTAATCCCTGGAAGCTAATCGTGTTGGTTTCGCTAGGATTTAGTCTGGCATGACTAATTTCAAGACTTATAACGCGTATCCTTCATCATACACATATCTGTATATGTATGTATGTATGTATGTATGTATATATGTCTGTGTATATAATACATATCGAACGAGCAAGAACGAGTTACGCATTAACGCGTTATTGTCGACGAAAGGATAAAACGATAAAACGTAGATTCGCTATTTGTTAGATTACACTCGATAAAAAAGTGTCACGATCATGTCGATTATCGAATTAAATAACACGAGATAAAGGAAGGTTTCAATATCGATACGATCTATTGTCGATATTTTATAATTGAAATCGATCAATTTCTATCGCGTAAAATTTAGAAATACGTGTAAACGAAAATCATTGTTAAACGTCTACCATAGTAATCGTAGTAATCGTAGCTATCGTCGGTAGTTGATACTACCAAAGGATAAATAACGTCGGCGTCGATGGGGTTCGTTGCTCGTTGATCTTATTTACGCTTCGACCGAGTGACCCTGATTTAGAGAGGGTTGTGTGCCCGAATAAGGGTCAGCGCGCGCGCACACGCTTGCTCGAACGAACAAACGGCGAGCGATAAGCCCTAAACTGGTAATCAAAGCGATCGATCGATCAAACGCAACGCCAAAGCCGATTGGTTCGTTCCTACCGTGTTAGCAAAGGGTGTACCTCGGCGGGAGTAGTGAATTTTCGAAAATCGATTGGTCTTCTCGAAACTTAACTACGTATCCGCGTAAACATAGTATACGTAACTTCCTGCTATACGATTCATTTTGATCGATTAAAAACGATACTTTATCTTTGTTATCTCTTATCAACTGCCTTTATATTTCGCCATAAGAATATTATGACGAACGAACGAACGAACGAACGAACGGACGATTATTTTTATCTAAATAATAGATACCACTTTGATGCTTTGTCGTAATGTCTCGTACCAATCAGTACTCACGGAAGAAAAAAAAAGAAATAATGAAATAAAATCGATTTCTTAAAAAAAAAAAAAAGAAAAAAAAAAGAAAAAAAGAAAAAAAATTGGAAAAAGGAAAAAATAAGGTAAAAGGTCTTCTAAAATAAATCGGCAGAACAGTCAGCATTTTAAAATGCGAAGCACGTAGGGACGCTCCCGGTAACTATGAATACCGAATCGTCGAGAGGAAAAATGGCAAACGTGAAGAAGGTTAGGCGCACGTTGCGCTATTTCTAGTGGCGTAGTTCGCGCGTAAAATCATCCCTTATTCGCTTTTCATCGGAGCTTTTCGACCACTTTCCAGTCTGCATAACCACCCTCGAGTTACGTTCGACTTTACTCCGTAAGAAGGCGTACAAACTCGTTAAAACTTTCGTCTATCGAGATGTTGCTATACCCATCGATTTGGGATTCTTACAAATTTTAAAAACGCCCTTTTCCTGTTAGAACCACGAAAGATCTTTTGAAATTCTCTTCCTTCCTTTTTTCTTTTTTTTTTTTTATTTTATCTTTCCTCTTCAATTTATACCTACCAACTTCAAATGACCATATGGAAATAAACATAATTCGAATGAACTACAATGAAAGAGACTTGGTAAATATTTGACGCGAGTAACTTTGTAAAGTTTGATTTTTATAAAACGAAACAAAAAAAAAAGAAAATAACAAAAAAATAAACAACAAAAGTAATAAAAACAACAGCAACAAAATTATTATTCCACGCGAAATGCGAAAGAGGAAGGATGAAAAAAATAACGTTAATGCGCACGAAATCTGGCGAAGTTATGAAATTTTCTCTGTTCTTTTTTTAACGGCATGGCCCCCACGGTTTATGGTGAGACGAAGGTGGAGAAAGAAGGGAGTGATTTTTTTCGCAAAGAACAGTACCGTGTCTACGTCGCTCGTTACTTCTGCACGTGCGCTTGTGTGCTATCTAAAAAACGAAGAAAAACTCTGTTACCTGTCCCAGCGTTACCACATTTGCATGTAAATGTTCTCTCTCTTTTTTTCTCTCTCTCTCTCTATCTCTCTCTTCTTACCCACACCTCATTCTTTCCCAACGACGACGACGACAAAAAATAATTCACCTCTCCAATGAACAGACCGTGCTCAACGACATGAACTTCGCTATAAAGCTGCGAGTCGAATGTCCTTACTCATCGATTAAATCAGATTTCGTACGATTAGCATTTTAATTGTTCCGGTGTCTGCTCGTCAATGTTCTTGTATAATTTATAGAAAAAAAAAATAAAAGACAGAGAGAAAGAGAGAGGGAGAGAGATCATAGAAAGTTTATAATGTGTATGCATGTATCTATGTGTATGTATGTATTGGACAGAAATCTCAAATTATTATTACATATATTTTTACTTTGAATTGATATCAATAAATAATGTCGGAATTTGTATTATTGTATTAATAAATAAACAGCACCATAGTATACTATGCAACAGTATTGTATTGGATTAAACAATAAATCATTTTTAATAAAAACTTTTAATATAACATATGATATCGTTTAGTTAGATATAAAATATTGAAAATTCCGTCTGTAATTAATGACCAATTTAATACAATTAATAGAAACATTTAATATTTGAAATATATACTGTTCGAAGTGAGTGAGAGAGGGAGATAGTATAACTCCCGTTCAGGAATGAACATACGTTCTAAACAGGTCCTGAACCGACCTTCCCAGGTCATCCAATTAGTTGCGAACCGACGTTGAAACCGGAAATTACAATGTACTGTCAACGACAGCCACAAAAGGGAAAATGAAAAGCCGACCAGGCTTTCCATGGTAGATAGAATACGGACTTCTCTAAAATATCCTAAACAAAAAGAGAGATATATAGAAAGTATCCATGCGTAAGTGTGTGTATGTCTATGTTTATATATAGGATATGAAGAGTGAAAGGAATAGAGATCAAAAGTTAAAATTAATTAAATCATTCTCGTAATCGATAAGATTTTATAAAAACTACGTTCTCTTTTGTTACAGAATCTAAAGAATCAGATCATGACGACGAATCTATGGGTGGAACAGGTAAGAGACAATTATTTGCTTATAAACATTTTTTATTCGATCCACTTTTAATAAAATTATGCAAACTAGTTTGAGAGATTATACATAATCAAGAGTATTTACATGAGAACGCGTTAGATCAGTGTCTTTGTTAAGAGGAAATGACAAAAAAAAAAAAAAAAAAAAAATTAAAGAAAAAAAGTCAAATAAAAAGACGAGTACTGTGTATCAACAAAAGTGACAAAGATAAAGAGCGGTAAAGAAAGAGAGGCGGGAGAGGGAGAGAGAGAGAGAGAGAAAGAGAGAGTCTGAAATAAAGGGGAAGTAGTAGGGAGGTACTATCGTGAGCTAGCATCGGCAAATGTAATTGAAGAATAATTAAGCGAGACCAATTAACGTTCCAATCCCGGCCACCCTTCCTCGCGACATAATGAAGCTACCAGGAAAAGCTCGAGGAAGTACTTTTCGAACAAAGTCGAATCTCGCAAAGCTCTTCAAACGTATGCAGCTTCGTAATTAGCCGGTTGAAAATCTAGTTAGCTGCGAAACGAAGATCATCGTCGTTGTTCGTAAAAAAAAAAAAAAAAAAAAAAAAAAAATAGAAGAAAAAAAAAAAAAGAAAGAAAAAGAAAAACAGAAGGACGAGAGAAAAAGAAAACAAGCAAATAAAAATAAACATGAAAGATAAATGTAAAAATAATAAATGTAAAAATGAAAATGAAAATGAAAATAAAAATAAATACAAATATAAATATAAAAACTAAAGAATATGCAACTAACGTTATACTATCGCTCGGGCTTTGTGTACTCGACAGTAATGGTTTATGTTTTTCCTTCGAATAATAGGAGCTAGTGTGGATTGAAAGGAGGAAGAGGGAGGAGGAGTGGGAGAGGGGGAGGGTGAAGAGTTCAATGATCCTTAATTGAGACGAGAAACTCGTAAACGACCCGAATACATTTTCCCTTAGCCATTCAAGTCTGTGGTAGCTTCTTAAAGTTCGATCATAAATCAGACCTCTTATTACTACTCTTAGAAATTTTCTCCTCCTTCTATTCGCCCCTCCCTCCCTCCCTCCCAATCCCTGTCCCTTTGCTCAACCTCCACCTCCGTGGCCGTACGAAGAGCCTCGTTAATTTCTCTTCTCATACGAATCGTACTATACTAGAGTTTCGAGAAAATGTATTTTACACGGGGAAAACTTGTAATTAAAACGTCTCTCCTCTCTTCAAACTTGCTTTTGACAAGGAACGGAAAGAATGTAAAGAAGAAATAGCGAAGCCAAGGAGAGAGAGAGAGAGAGAGAGAGAGAAAGAGTGGACATAAAATTGGAATCCTTTCGTCGAGAGTTAAACTAAACTACTCCTACCTCATTCTGGCTACTACCCTTAACATTTCTCTTTCATCTTTGGGAATGTTATCGCTTACTCTTCTCTCTCTCTCTCTCTTTCTCTCTCTCTCTCTCTTTCTATCTATCTATTTATCTATCCATCTCTCCTTCTCCCTTTTCGTAAAATTCACGATTCTAGCGAGTAAACGCGATATTCTACGTGAAAAGGACGATTCACTAACTACTCGATAGTTAGTGGTAGTAGTTGTAGTAGTAATAGTAGTAGTAGTAGTAGTAGTAGTAGTAGTAGTAGTAGTGCTAGTAGTAGTAGTGGTAGTAGTAGTAGTAGTAGTAGTGGTAATAGTGGTAGTAGTAGTAGTAGTAGTAGTAGTAGTAGTCCTCGTCGTTTTAAAGGGTGAACTTTGAGCTTGGCTTTCCCGACGAATCAGCATTTCTTAATCCTTGCATCAGCCTTTGGACCACCGACTACTAGTATCGGCTCGTGATCTCTTACTACGGTTGACACAAAAGAGAAAAGAGACTAGTAGTAATCACTGGTGGAATGAAGAGTTGATGAGCGATTTTTCATTAAATGACGATTCATGTAGGTTACCATGTTGAGTGATTTTTATCGGGAAAAAAGGAAAAAAGAGAGAAGAAAAAAAAGAAAGTAAAAGGGAAAAGAAAAAGAAAGGATGAACGAACGAGGGTAACTTATCAGCTTATGCTCCAATAACACCGTAATTATTATCATCATCATCATCATCATCATCATTAGCATCATCATCATCGTCGTCGTTGCCATCATCTTTTCTTGTTAATAAGAAAAATACGAAATAGAAAAGAAAAAAGAAAAAGAAAAGAAAGAAAGAAAGAAAGAAAGAAAGAAAGAAAGAAAGAAATAAAAGCTTTACTCTATAACGGATAGAAGTACGTTACTTCACAACGTATTTATGTCCGTGCGTTTGTGTGTGTATTATATATAAGAGAGAGAGAGAGAGAGAGATGAGGGGGAAGGAGAGGAAGTAGGATGAAGATAGAGAAATAGGAGTTACACGTTGGAACGTTATGCGCGCGTCGTGAGCGCATCACAGACGTATCGCGAGGCATTCCGTGCGCGTCTCGAAACGACACACCATCCCTCAACGTCGAGACCATCCCTCTAGCCAGTGTTACGAGTTTCAAGCGAACCTAGCCTTTCCCTTTCTCCTCTTATTCCTCTTCCTCCTCTTGTTCCTCTTCTCGACTATCCGGTTATAGGCACGAGCCTATATAACGTAGAAATACTACTAAAGCGAACGTATCGCACGTGCTGCCTCGAATAATGACCGAAACCGCTCGTGCCATAGTAAAACACGAGTGTTCTACCATATCTACTATCTATCTATCTGTACATCTATCTATTTCTCTCTTTCTCTCTCTCTCTCTCTCTCTTTTTATGTCTTTCTATCTACCTTTCTATCTTTCTATCTCTCGTGAAGGAAGGAAGAAAGAAAGGAAGGAAGAGAAAAACGAGTTTGTTCAACGTTTAAACGACTTCAGAAAACTAAATTCTTCCTCCGTTTGGAGGAACTCTCTTTTTTATATTTTATTTTATCTCGTTTGTTTGTTTCTTTTTTTCTCATCTTCTTTTATTGCCTCTCTCTCTCTCTTTCTTCCTGTTTCTCTCTTTCTCTTTCTATCCTCAAAGAGAAAGATAATAGAACGTTATTGTCGATACGATTGCGAGTAAATTGTCGATTGTATTACCTTGCACGGTATTTTCGTGTCGACATCTGCATCTTTTTCTTTCTTCCCTTGTTTAACTATATATCTATCCATCTATCTCTCTCTCTCTCTCTATATATATATATATATATATATATATCTTATCTGTATGTCTGTCTATCTATCTGTCTGTCTGTCTGTCTGTCTGTCTGTCTGTCTGTCTGTCTATCTATCTGTCTATCTGTCTATCTTTCTTTATCTGACACTCCCTTTCGCTCGTAGTGAAAATCGTTACCAAGTTGCGATAAGTTCATGACTTTTCCTATCGTTCCTCTCGAGTGACATTAAAAGCATTTATTCCAATATGATAAATCCCAAAGTGTGCAAGACGTTTCCCGTTAAACAAGCATCATTTTACACCGAACAAAACGTAATAAAATCGTTGAATTACTCGAGTAAACGCAACTAGAATTTCATTTTAGAAGCATATACAGAAACATATAAATACGAAATAATACGTCGTAAAATATTATTGAATTTTCTATTGAATTTTGATAATAAACAACGACATTGACATCAAAGTTTAACGAAACGATTGAATAAGAAATAACCTTGAAACGCTTTATTATTATTATTATTATTATTGTTGTTGTTGTTGTCGTGTGAAACGAATCAATTGAAATGCCATGTCGAACGTGGAAAATATTCGACGTGATAAAAGGACAAATGGGGAGAAATAGCATTAGATCGGAAATTCCCACGAAATAAGCCCACATAATTAACGGGCAATCTGTCGCAATTCGCACGTATATACGTATGTATGTATCTATCTATCTATAGTACATACGTATGTACGTAGAGTATATGCCATATGGATAGTAGTCTCGTCAAAAGGGGTCACGTAATTAGGTACGATCGAATCAACGATCATTTCGAAATCATTGTGGAACTTTAACTGTGTTCGTGCTACGTAACTATCTACTTGTCGGATTATTACAAAGTTTATACACGGATAGAAAATGTATAAATGATAAATTCCATAGATTAAATTTTAAGTATATATGTATGTACGTATGTATGTAAATACGTATGTACACGTGTAAGTATTGTGCATGTATCGCAAAGATTGAAATGAAATGATATACCATACGTACTACTACTGTATAAATCCTATTTGAATGCACTTCTCGATGAATAGGTTACTCCTGCAATAAATCTAGCTGAAAAAAAAGGAAAAAGAAAAAAAATAGAAAAAAAAAAAAAAAAAAAAAAGAAAAAAAATGTTGTAGAACCCTCGAAACGAAAGGGGTTCCTTCTTCTTCCGAATCCACGTTAAACTGTATCTATCTCTGTCCATTGTAATCTCGAGTACATAAACGTACATATGTAAGTACGTAAATAGATAAGTAAGAAGTAAGTTTAGTAAGTACTTACGTATAAGTAGACGTACCTTGACGTTGAGGCAAATCGAGAAAAGCGATGGCTGGCAAGAGGTTTACTCTATTGCTGTAGGGGAAGGAGAACGTAATGGTGGTGGTGGAGATGAAGGAGGAAACTGCTTCTAGCCATATGCAGGAACGACGGAACGATGGTGTGGTTCCTTTCAGAAGGTCGTACGTATACTGAATACGTCGGAAATAAATTGATAACACCGTTGGGAATGTCAGAAAGCGTCTTCTATCTGTAAACACATTCGTCCTTCCCTCTCTCTCTCTCTCTCTCTCACACTCTTACTCACTCATTCATTCTCTCTCTTCTCGTGCGTTGTATCTATCTATCCGGTCGCTAGTCCTTTCGTCGCCATCATTCTGAAAGCACGCTTTAGAGTCTGTTCTGGCTTTTGAATCCTTTTAGACGGGTCATCGATCGATGGACTCTCTCTCTCTCTCTCTCTCTCTTTTTCTCTATTGAATTTAACGCACGATCGATACGTAGAGGACATCATCGATATCGCTATCGAGGTATTCGTCTCAAAGAAATTAATGAATTCGTTAGATCAACCTTCTCTCTCTCTCTCTCTCTCTCTTCTTAAAAGATTCCATACTTTTTCCCCCTCTCTTGATTTATACATACTTACGTGGGTAAAACTTTTCGATCGATATTAACTCTTAATTTTATTTTTCTTTTCTCTTTTTTTTTTTTTTTTGTCCGATGCGATATCAAAATCACGTGACACTTGGTCGTCGAACGAACAAACAAACAAAGAAAATAAAATAAAAAAAAAAAGAAAAAGAAAGAAAAAAGAAAGAAAAAAATTAAATAGGATGAAAAAGGTAGAACACGAAGGTAACACGAAGGTAGGAGAGCGAGATAGAGGGAGACAGGGAAAGAGGGAAGAGGAGGAGATAGACGAGGCATTGTCCAAAAATAAGTTGGAACGATCGGAGAACGAAAGCGGGTCGGTTGTTTACGGGTCAGTTTCGAAGGTTGAACGGTAGCTCTCTCGTTCTTCTCTCTCTCTCTCTTTCTCTCTCTCTCGCTCTCTCTCTCTCTCTCTCTCTCTCTCTCTCTCTCTCTCTCTCTCTTGGCCAAGGCGCATGAGAATGAAGTTTGAATTTATGTGTTTGTGCCAGGCCACTTTTTCCTTTTATTTTTGTTTTCCTTTTTTTTTTTTCTTTTTTTTTCTTTTTTACTTCGGTCCAGCTCTAAAGGGCCAAACGCAAAAAGAGGAAATGAGTTAGAGAAAGAATATTCGTTGTTTTCGATAATATTTCTTTCTGTCATATTCTTCTGATAAAAAATCTCTCTCTCTCTCTCTCTCTCTCTCTTTATTCAGGATCGACAGATATTCCTTTCCTTCTTTAATCTCGCTCCACCCTCACCCTTTGAAAAAATTCTTTTATTCGTCTTTACCAAGTTGTCGCTTATTGATTCGACGTAACAAAAGAAATTTCTTGATCCCATTTTGTTCTATGCCATGATATTATATATTTATCGATACTATAATTGGCCTCTAATTAATGGCAATCGAAGAATCGTATTTCTAAATACTAAAGATTCGATCGATCGAATATTTTTTTTTTCTTCGATCGTGTATTCTTAAAACGAATTCTATTGAAAGGACTAATTTTTTTTCTTTGTCTTTTTTTTTTCTTTTTTTTTTCTTCTTCTTGATTTTATTCTCTCACAGAGAAAGAGAAAGAAAAAGAGTGATGGTATTGTTATACAGATTTTAAATATTCGTATATAACAAAACAGGTATAAATAATTATGTTAAATATATAAATTCTTATTCGATATCGCGATAAATTCAAACGCAAATATTACATCGTCTTTTGAAAACGATATTAATTTAGAGTTCTCGTGCCGATAAATATAATATTTCGCTATTTGATTGCTTCATTTTCGTAATATGTCCCGTATAATACAGAAAATTAAAAAGAAGATGCATTTAATAAGCGGATGCCTTGAAAAAAGAAAAAGTTGTTTCTTATCATCTTTCTCTCTCTCTCTCTCTCTCTCTCTCTCTCTCTTTCTCTTTCTCTCTCTCTTCTCCTTCTCTCACGAATTTCCATAGTGACAACGAATTCTCGTGTAATTCAGCGTGTTGGAATAAACAAGTATATTAATGCACTCTTGCGCTTGGGATGTGGCATTAATTACCACTTTTCTTTGAATAATTAAGTGCGAAGCTTTTAGGAGGTAGCTTGCAAGTACTAACAAAAGTCTACCTCGCTTCAATTTCTACATTGCACCTTCTTTTAATTGTTGTGTAAGGCTTAGTAAGAGAAAAGGAAAAAAAGAAAAAAGAAAAAAAGAAGACGAGTGGCAAGAATATATCGATGAACGATTTAAGAACGTATCGAACGTACGACGAATAATCGCTTTTCTATTATCAACAATGTACCGATATTAAAATTCAAAATAAAATGATAATAATAATATTGGAATATTAATTTGTATAATTTTAGTCGATACACATACACACACACACACACACACACAGACAATACACGTACGATGATATCTCATGACTATAAAAAATCTAATTTAAACTTGTTTAGTAAAGTTTATTCGAAACAACCAAGAATCCATAAGGAAACTGGCATCCAGGATTCTTATGGAAAAAATTTGTACTCGTACTTTTTATGAAATTCCATGAAAATGGATACGAAAAGGGGGAAAGAGCTTTCTTCTTAGCTTTGATATTTTTCCTATACGATATTGTACTATTATTACTACTACTATTACTATTACTACTACTACTAATACTATTATTACTAGTACTACGTAGAAAGACAGACACGCTTGTGTATCTTGGACAAACAATTCTGTATATACGTGCTTGCACTTTTAATTCTGTAAATATAATAGAGACAGAATATACTTACAATATATTTTTATATAATCGTGCAACCATCTTTATTTAAATCTCGCTATATATGAAGATTATAGATTCAATGTGAATAAATATATTAAAAGATCATTGTATATGTGTACGTTTGTGTGTTTATATATACATATATATAAACACACAAACACACACATACACACAAATGCAATGTATTCTCATTTCGGAGTGGACCAATAATATGTTTATATTTGTTGTATTGGCTGTTTCAAGTCATGGTACGACTACAAGCTACGATGGGAGCCGAAGGAGTATGGCGGAGTTCACATGTTACATGTACCCTCGGATCACATATGGCGTCCCGACATAGTACTCTACAACAAGTGAGTTCATCTATGTTCTCTCGTTACATATCGATTACATATATTATAGTTCAACATTGACATAATATACATATAGTAGTTCGGCACAGCATGTTGCCGAATATATGAAAGTCGATCGTACCCTCGTTGTCTCTTTTTATGCCAAGTTTTCACGATTTTAAATGATGATCGCGGCGGCCATCTCTACGGTGAGAGTGAAAAAAAGACATCGATCGTACAAAGGATAAACAATATCGTATTGGAGTGATAAACAAACGAACGTTCGATCGACACCACGAAAAAAGAAAAGTACTTACCATCGTCGTGCATATAAGTTGCATTTCGAAAAGTAGAACAGTCTATATACACACTCACGCACAGACACACATACATATATATATATATATATATATATATATATATATATATATGTATGTATGTATATATTTTTATTTATATACACATATATATATATATTTTTTTTTTTTTTTTTTTTTTTTATTGAAACGCATCTCGCTATACGACGTTCTTTTAAAAATTTCGTAAGAATTGTCAAACGATTTGTAAATATCGTATCGCTCTGTTAAAATAAATGTTAAAAATCAAATTTACGATTCTAACTCTTTCTAAAATTATTATTTTGATCTAATGACAAATATTGACAAGTGCATGTACGAGATGAAAATTAAGCGAGATGCGAGATTGTCATTTGGGCGCTATCTATCTGCTTGCCCACGTATTTCTATTCTTTTTTTCGTCTCGGAAAAAAAAGAAAAGAAATGCCAGAGAAGGAAAAAAAGAAAAGAAAAGAAAAGAAAAGAAAAGAAAAGTAAACAACGAAGGAAGAAAAAGAAAATTGAGAAAAACGAAAACACAGAAAAAAGGAAGTAAAAAGAAAAACAAAAATATATATATCAGACGAAGCCCCCACCCCCACCCCGACCCCCCCCCATACGAAAAACCGTAGTTATCGGATTAGATTATTATTCATATCGCATGAAACATGGGCGCTGCGGCGAATGTATACATATACATATATATATATTCAAAAACGATGAAAATCATCTTTTAAATTCGCCTTGCTTTTTTGCCGGAATTACGAAGAATTCGAAGGATTCAGCGAATTTTAAATCGATTGATAGCGTACGAGTCGAGACGAGCATGTATTTCGAGAACAACAACAACAACAACAACAACAACAACAACAACAACAACAACAACAACATCAACAACAACAAAAGCAACAACGACAACGACAACGACAACGACGACAACGACGACGAAGACGACAACGACGACGACGACGAGGACGATAACGACGATACGACGACGAAAAAAAGAGAAAAAAAAAGTAAACAAAAAAGAAAGAAAAGAAAAAGAAAACAGACACGTGGACGAAGGTCCATCGAAAATAAATCACGACAAGGCTCTTATTTCCGATCGATAAGAAAAGATCGAAGTAGCAAAAGGCTAGCAACGAGGACGAATTAACTCTTAACGCTTTTATCACGAAAAGACTTTCCCCTCAAAGTCCCTCTGGCAATGGAACACTGTGCTAATTTAATTTCTCGCGGTTCCATTAGTCTTTCGTTCTTGTTTTTCTACTCTCACTCGTTCTTTTCTCTTCTCTTTCTTTCTTTCTTTCATTCATTCATTCATTCTTTCCTTCACCTGTCGTTCTTTGTTTGTCCCTCCTTTTCTCACTCTATATCACACTCGATTTATCTTATCTTCTCTCTCTCTCTCTCTCTCTCTCTCTCTTCTATTTTTTTTCTTTTTTTTTCCATCCGTGTCTCTCCAGCAAGCTCGTAACGTCCAGTTTCAAGTGTATAAAGAAGGAAAATATATTGCGACGACATGTAGCGGAGCTTCCGGGATTGATATCGAGCTTAAAATATGGTTGAAAAACACGTTCGTTCAAATCGTTGCGGAATCGTCGTGAAAAATTCTCTCGACTGTTCTATGTTTCCACGACTAACCATCCCCTTCATCCCTCCCATCGCTATCCAATCTCTTTCCATGTCCGTCTTTGCGTTTTACGAAATTTTACTCGAGTTAGATACAGACTAGTTCAAAAGCTTAACCTTCTTTCTATTTCGACGATATAAAGAAAGAAGACAGATGGATGAGAAAATCTATGTACATATACATATCTCTAATCCTCTTACTCTTTCATTCTCTCTCTCTCTCTCTCACCCTCTCTTTCTCTCTTATAGTCAATATTTCATATCACGTTCTCAAACGAAATTAGAAAAGACGTGAAAAGATAGTGGATTGTCAACACTACATCTCTTTTTAACGTAATATTTTCTTCTACGATAGTAAAAGATAATTTTACGAGCGTCGTGTGAGTTATTAAAAAGAAAGATAAAAAAGGAAAAAAAAGAGAGACAGAAATGAGAAAAGAAAAATAAAATCCAATAAAATTTTATTCGAACTTTTCCATCTCTTTCTCTCTCTTTCCCTCTCTCTTTTCCTCTCTCTCTGTCACTCTCTCTCTCTCTCTCTCTCTCTCTCTCTCTCTTTCTCTCTCTCTCTCTTTCTCTCTTTCTCTCTTTCGCGATTGATTCTCACTTTCTCAAAATCGATGTCCCGTTAAATGGAAACGTAGCGTGAAAGACACTTCTATCAGGTATGTATGTAGAAATATTCGGCGCGATATCTCACGATCTATAATAAATAAATACATTGCAACGTGACGTAAATCTAATACTCTTGAAATAATTTTCGAAACGTCATGTTGGATTTGGAAAGGGGAGAAAAAAAAAAAAGCAAGAAGAAAGAAAAACATTTCTCGATGGAACATCAGAGATGTCATTAAAAAATATACATACGAATATCGGTTTTACTTACGATAATTATAATAGAATCAAACTTTTATAATTTGGAAGTTATAGTCTACACGCATACACACAAACACACACACATATATATTTTGATGTCAGCAGAAAATACAACTTTATATCGCGTTAATAAAAGTTTATTATGTTCCTTCTCTCTCTCTCTCTCTCTCTCTCTCTCTCTCTGCTTCTTCATCGCAAGCTTTCGACATAGTTTCAAAGCAATAATAAAAAGAAAAAGAAATATATATATATATATATATAACCTAACCGGCGACTGAAACAAACTTTAAGCTAGTACACATGTTGGAACGTTTGATGGTTAATAAAGTGAAGGGAAGAAGGAAGAAACAGAGAGAGAGAGAGAGAGAGAGAGAGAGAGAGAGAGAGAGAGAGAGAGAGAGAGGAAATAGAGAAAAAGAGGGAGGAGAAGCAGAAGGAAAAAGAAAAAGAAAAAAAAAGAAAAAAGAAAGATGAGGAAGGAAAAGTTGAGAACAGGTAGGAGGTTTAAAACGGTCGGGACTGCTTATATTTTCGTAGGGATTGAATATCGATGACACGAGCCAATAAGGTTTGTCGTTCTCAAAGAAACTTTCATTCGAGTTCGTTCTCTCATACACCTCCCACGTACGATATTATATCTATACCAGGCAGGCGTCATCGTATCCTTTGCGAAGGTAACAAAAAAAAAAAAAAAAAAAAAAAAAAAAAAAAAAACAGAAAAAAGAAAAAAGAAAAAGCAAAAGAAAAAAAAGAAGAAGAAAGAAAGAAAAAAGAAAGGAGTATTTCCTATAGAATGAAACGAAATAATAATTGATGAAATGTCGATACCGCGGCGATTAGAAATCTAATAGTGCATTCATTAGAGATAAGAGATTCATACGAAATAAGGATTGGCGATGATTATATAGGTGGTACTCCTCTAATAGGCACATACTCTATATACCAACGATTCCTTCGACTACAGACTATTTGGAGAATCTGCTAGCTCGGCTTAATCCTACGTGCCAGTGTCAGAAACACGTACGAAATGTGAGATAACAACACCGCCTACGCATGTCTGACCAGAGCAAACATATAAGCCTCTAGATTGCATGCGTAGAGGGGATAGAGATAGAGAGAGAGAGAGAAAGAGAGAGAGAGAGAAAACGAGAGAGAGAAAACGAGAGAGAGAGAGGGAGAGGGAGAGAGAGAGCTTTACGTTGAAGTTAATCGTGCGAGTCTCAAAGGTCATCCATGGCGCTTATATATCGATTAAGGGCCAACTGACCCAAATATTCGCCGAACGGACCTACTATACGCGTACTATACGCAATGTGCGCATTCACGAACAAGATTCTCTTCGGTAGTAATATGCAAACTCGATTATCGATATGACTTCGAAGTGGATATCACTAAAACCTACATACATATATACGTACATACACACGCGCGCGGCGCGCGTATATGTATATATATATATATATATATATATATATATATATATATATGGGTGAAAATATACTCACGTAGATATGTACGTATTACACTCGTAAACAATATCTTTGGTACGTTTTACGATATTTTAGATTGCTGGCTGGTTACATCAGATATGTATGTATATAAATACATATGTATATATATATGTATGTAATGTATGTATGTAAGTAGAGAATGAAGCTCAATATGTATTTTCCTATAATATTTTACGCTATCTATCGTTATCTGACCGAACAATGTAACGTCATTCGTATTATTGTATGTCGTTTATGGTTGATATTTTGCCGATGGTATGAGTAAATATAAACGCTTCGTCGTTGTTTATATTCTTATGAATCATCGAAATTATAAAGTTCCTGTTGAGAAAAGTTAGTGGTAAAAGACGTAAGGTTGTTTACACATACACATACACACACACACACACACACAATCGAACAGACAGACATATACATACACATACTATCCGACGCATTCAACTTCACCAGTTCTCCTTTCCCACAGCCATACTACTCTGTTTCTCTAACTATGGATAGATATTTGGAAAATTTACGAGTTTTCCTTGAGTTTTACTATCTTCCACGATACAACTTTTACATAATATTATCCGCACAAAATAAAATTCTCTTATTTTCTTTCACTATTCATATTTGGCTCCATCAAATTCACGAAGGATAATATATTTCTATATTTTTTTATAATCGT